CAGTTTGTTGGTATGGGGCTGCAGGAAATTCTGACCACCATGGTGACCAAGTGGTCAGAATGTAATGGCTGATCGGTGTGTGCAGTGAAAGTAGAAAGTAGAAGTTAGAGTTGAATGGAAATATTCAAAGTACCACTACTTATGTACTTACTTTCTGCCAGGAATTGTTTTTTTTTGGGAAGTACTCATATTCACGTTCTTGCCAACAGTATGTCAATACCACTGTTGCATCTTTATACTACACAATATGGAGCTAGAGCCAGGAGGTGATTAGCTTAGCACAGGTGTAGGCAACCTGCCGTTCCGGAGCCACATGCAGCTCTTTAGCCGCTCTCCACTGGCTCCCTGTGGCTTTGACAAACAATGATATGAAAATGAAAAACTGTTATTATCCGGTATACATGATCTGCAGTGAGAAATTAGCTTTATAAGGCTTAAATATGTTTTGCTGTACCAGACATATTTAGCTTTTTGTTTTGGCCAAAAATGACTCTTTTAATAGAAAAGGTTGCTGATTACTGGCTTAGCATAAAGACTGGAAGCAGGGGAAATGCTAGCCTGTCTCCGTCAAAAGTGCAGAGCCAATCCCTCAAAGTATTTGTAAAGCAGTAAATTAAAGCAGTGCAGACTCCACTGTGAATAGTTTAACACCCCGCACATTAGTCAGCCCTCTCAGAACCTGCACACACACAGGCAGTTTTCACATGTTAAGTAATGAGATCTCTACTGCTGCTCACTACTGTGCTGTCTCTCCACCCTTCCCTCTCTCTTTCCGTCAGCACTCCGGCCCCCGCCTTGGTTACCAAAGCAACGTCCAAGGTTCCACCCAGCCACAGAGCACCATGGGATACTCGTCGTCGTCCCAGCAAAGCTCCCAGTACTCCCACCAGACCCACCGTTACTGAGGCTCCCAGTCACTCCTGAACCAGCAGAGGGGTCAGCTCCTCCTCCTCCTCCTCCTCCTTCAGAGAGACGTCACCATACACCCTCGGCTCCATCCTGGTCGGACCTCCCTCCGTGCATTACATCATTCCAACTCGACCATCCTTCTCTCAACCCTCCCTCGCCTCTGACCTCCTTCCCCCACAGCCTTTAAAGGCACTGGAACATGAAGGCAAATGAACATAGGAACCAAAAAAAAAGAATCTAACAAGAAGTTGTGCCTCGTTGGGCTGGTGAACCGTTTTTAAAACAAGTGAAAATAATGTAAGATAGATGTGAAGGCATCACACAGACCATGAACACTTACAAACGCAACCTTCTTCAGGAGGAAGAATCGCAGCTGTGTTCATATATGTACATTATATAGCACCTTTTTCTATTTGAGTTTTTTTCCTCTCTCACTTATTTGCTAGAGTTTTCAAGTTTACCTTGATAGTTGATGTCATTGTTAATATTGTTGCATATGGGAGCGATCGGATGAAACAAAACACAGGAGGAAAAGCCCTTTACTGTCATCTCTAGTGTAACATTACCTTGGATAATCAAAAGAAAAAGAAAAAAGTTCGAGCTAACCCTGACCAGTTTCTACACAGAAAAAATCAGCTCTCCAGCTGATGCAATTGCAGGGAAATATTAAATGCGCAATTTAACTTAATATTCTTCTTATAAGGTTTCTATATTTAGACCTGTCTTTTAAATAGATTTGGATTTGAAAAGTGAGAAGAGTAGTTGTCTTTTTACAGCTCTAAGTTGTATATATTCTGATACCTTTAGAGATAAAAAACATATTTGACAGCCCAGCTTTGTTTCCTCTGATGACGCCTCTCGTTTGTGGCCAGTGGTTTTCTCGTCTGGGAGCTGCTGGTGGACACTTTGCTCTGACACCATCTTATTGCGAACCCTCAAGACTTATAAGGTTTCTGAACACGAACGTGCGCATAAACGTACAGGGCAGCTAACAGTACGCTCACCCCCTAATATCCTTATTGAGACTGTTACTGCCTGATGTCAGATTGTTTTTTTTAAGGTTTTAATGTTATCATTGTGAGTGTGTGTGTGTGTACAGTATGTTTTTTATGCATGTTGTTTATTCTTTTAGAACTGCACTGACTGCTGAACCGATCTGCAAAGAGCTGAAACAAACGTGGGATGAGTTTTGTTGTTCTAAGGCTCATCCTCTCCCACTGCGACCCCGCTGGCCGAGCACACAGACAGCAGGTGCGTTCTTTAATACACACCAAGGAGGCAGGAGCAACAGCGATCGACATAAGTATCGATGTAAATGTGCCGCATGAATCCTCAGTGCCTCTACAGAAAGTATTCTTTTCTATTTTGTCCTTTTCTATCATTTTATACAGCGTATACAGTATAATCATCTACCTGTGATGTAATTAATAAGTCAATCTGTGAGAAAGCCTTTAAAAGTAGAGGTGGAAGAAGTACACACCTTCTTTACTCAGGTAGAAGTACAAATACTTGTGTAGAAAAAGTCTTTGGTAAAAGTACCGATTTACTTCTTTATTCAAGTAAGAAAAATAATAATCAATAATTCCCTGAAATGCATTAAAACGCAGGTAATAAGCCTGTTTTAAATAAAGTAAATTAGCTACTCAAGTAAAGTACAGATACCTGAAAGAACTACTTCAGTACAGTGACAAAGTATTTATAAGTGATCTGTGGTGGAATGTAACTAAGTACATTAACTCAAGTGCTGCACTCAAAGGAATAGCTCCACATTATAGGAAATAGTCTTATTCCCTTTTGACGAGATGAGAAGATTGATGCTGTATACTCAGTATGAAGCTACAGTCGGTTAGGTTTTCTTAGCATGAAGACTGCAAAGCTTGCCTGGGTCTGTTTCCAAGTTAGCTGCTTCCCACTGTTTCCAGTCTTTATGCTAAGCTAAGCTTTACTTTACTTGAGTATTTCCATTTCATGCTACTTTACATATACTCCACTACATTTATATAAGAGATTAAGTTACTAATTCATTTATGAGGTTTTGATACAAAACTTTGATCAAATAATATAAAGCCCTTTCCCTTTTTTTTTTTTTGGGGCTATAATTGACACATATTTATTTCTTTTTTTTTTTAAATGTGAAAGAAAGCCACAGGTGCACTAAGAATATTCCAGCCTGATTTCAGGATTTCAGGGCAAATCCATTTTTCTAAAATCAAGTGTTATTTTTTATACTTCTACTGCAGCGACTTACCTCATACTTTCATGATGCAGTCAGTTCTTTGCACAGGTTTATTTGTAGTAAATAAACTCTCACTGCAACAGATTTGTTTGACTTCTTTTACGAAAAGAAGTTTTTTAGGACCCAGTTATAGCCAGAATTTCTGCACCTCACAGTTGCAACAGCAAAATGCTACTTACACATTTATTTATCAATAATAATAATAATACAATAATATGATCTGTATCTAACAGTATGAAATTGGCCATTCTGCGGTGCTACTTTTACTACTTTAAGTAAATCTAGCTGAAAATATTTAATTAGGGTTTCTAATGCAGGACTTAGTATGTTTACACTGTTGTATGATTATTTTTACTTAAGTAAAGGACCAGTATGCTTCGTCCACCACTGAGAATATTACAGACAACACCCGACTTAGAACAAATCTTCAAGGCCAAGCCTGAAAATGAGGCTCACTTTATACCCCCCCTTCCCCTTTTCATTTCCCCACAACTTGCTCCATCCTCACTGGTCCTGCTCAGTCACATGACTGGCCATCGTGCAGGTTGTATTAAAGAATGCACCCAATGACTCCACTGTAACTGTTACTGCGTTTGCTCCACAGAGGTGGGCACAGCAGCGTTGGGGGGAGCTGCATTTGGCAGATGTGTGGCCTGCAGTGGGATTAGAAAACACTGACACCTTGTGGCTGAAAAGAGAACTGGACCCTGTAAAACTGCAATTATACAAGTTTTTAAAGCAATTTTCGCCAGAACGTGCAAACCATGGGTGTTTTAGTGTAAATCTGATATTATTGTGTCTAGAGATCCAGTCACGTTTCACTGAGCGGCTTTGCTCTCAGTAAGACTGATTATTATTTACATCTCACCGCTCAATAGTGTATCCTTAAGGCTTTTGGTTGTTGCATTGATACTAAAATGTGCCTCAGTTCTAAGAAAGAGACTTTCTCTGCAAAATCCCCTCAGTGACTCCTCAGTGTGCCCCCCTGACTGGCTCTTTCTCTGCAGCAGCCAGGTGGATTACAGTCTAAGCTCACTTCCATCAAAACTGGATCATTTCTGCAAAAAGTTCTCATTTTCAATTCCTTTTCTTTTTAAAGTAAAAACAAACATGCAGTTGGATGGATCTGTAGCAAGTGCAGATGAGCTTTGCAAGATTCATGTCAAATTACTTTAATCTGGAAAGTTGCAGTAGCTTCGTTCCAAATTAACATCTTTTAAAAAAATGTCTAACACACAAACTAAAAAAATATTGATTGATATATATAGTGATATTTTTGTTGACGATAAACTTTTACAGACTGGATCTTGTATAGTTTACACATTTAAAGCTGCATTCATTGACGTCTTTATGGCCATTTGGCTTCAGCAGCAAAAAAACTATAAACACAACATTACCATATTATCACCTTACAGAGAGCTGAGGTCATTGCAAGCTTAAAGTGTGCACCTGGGCCTTACTGTTCATACTGTAAAACAAATCAACACCTGCAGATTTTCAAACTTTTAATCTCAACTGTCTATAAGCTAGGGAAATAGTGTTTGTTAGAAACTGCTAATAGTAGCTAATAGCTAAATATTACATAAACAACAATATACTGCAGTGCTCAAGACTGGACTGGACTGTAGCACTCAGTACTCAGGATGACAATTTGACCACCATTATTTAAACATATGGAGTGAACCACACATATTTTTCTATGTAGGATTATGTCGCAGGGCTAGAGTTTTAGTCATTTGCGTTATTACAACAATCTGTGAGTTTGAAGAAGTTTTATTATCCAAAAGTTCTGCTTTGGCTTCAGCTCTCTATAAAATTGATATGGCTAATGTATCAGCTAACTATTCTTGCAACAAGTATACCTGGAATAACATTCTTTCTGGCCATCTGAACATGAGTCCAATATTCACTCTCCTTTTAGCTCTGGTTTGGTCTCCAACTCCTGAATCTAAATGTCTGGCTCTTTAGCTTCTACATATTTCCTGAAGTACAGTAGCTAGATGCTTACTTAGCATGTCAGCCATTTGGTGCTACACAGCTTGTTTTTCCTGAAAACAGCTTCCTACGGCTGTAAATGAGGTCGATAAGAGCGGAGTTTGTGGGCTTGAAAACCAAAACAATGAGCTAAAAGAGTCTAAAAAGGCCAGTAGATCTGAGGGGAACTGCAGAGTCGGGTGATGATCCTTTGTGGGTTTGTGACTGGAAGCCACCCCTTTTACATTACACGCAGTCAGTTGATCAATTGTTAATGAAAAAAATATTGATTAGTGCAGCTTTAAAGACAAATCCAAAATCTGCTTGTAAAGCATTTTGGCTAATGAGCTGTTCACAGTGTACATTGCTTTAGTTCCTTGGTTCGTTGTGTCTACTCGGCAGGCAGATCCAGGGAGACGCAGTCTGTTCAGCTAGAAGTGATGATGGGGATCAAAACCAGCAGCTATTCAAAGGTTTTCTCCTCCCTTTAGTGTGTATTTGAAGTAGCAGCGAGGATACGTGAAGACGCTCTGTTGTAAATTTCTCTCTCCACACAAGCGAGGTGTCACAAGTATTACTGAGCGCAAGGCTCCAGCGGGAGACAAATTACTGTCAAACAACTCCTATGCAAAAAAAAGAAAAACAAATCCCAGATTAAAGCTTTCACTTAGGTTGCTTAGGTTTTGCAGTTGACAGCTTTTTATTATGTTTTGATAGGTGACGTGTATTCATTCCTTGTGTAATATTGACTACAGTAGTTCAAGACAGCGCTCACTTATGTCCCTTTTTCACAGCATTTTGAATTGTACTCTAAATGAACTATTGTAAAGAAATGCATATATATGGATAGTATACAATCATATTTATTGTTTCCTTACATCTATGAATAATACCCATTTGTAGAACTTTCCTCTGCCTTAACTATAGTAGCTATAGAAAGGGACCTCTGTCAGACGAAGCAGGCATCACTAGACCATGTTTCTTGTTATGTTCGAGTAATTTCCTCTCAATGCGCTCACATGAAATTATGTCTAGTTACTGAATGTGTTAATGCCACCTCAATGTACAGTAGAATGAAGGCGACACCGCCGTTTGGGATCACTCGCCGGCTTCTCGTGGTTGGTTTGTGTCACGCAGATATTCCACAGTGTCACTGTTTTTACAGGAATGATAATGATCCACGTTTTTATTTGTGTGGATGGTGCCTTTTTCTAGTCGTCTAGTCTTCTGACGATGTCATGGGAATTTGTTCAGGATTTCTGTTTTTTTATATATATATATTATTTTGAGTTGTTGGTATTTTCACACCGCCTCTGTTAGCTCTATGGGTCTATGTCCTCTTTTTTTCCTCATTACTATGTAGCATATTGTTATTTACACAATGTGGAAGCTAGCAGCTATATATATTTTATTTCAGTTCATTGTGTCTCAACTCTGAAGACTGCAAACAATCCTGATGGAGGATTAGCTCTTGTTTTCTCCTCTAATAGATATTGTCCTCACACAATACTGAAGCGCAGTCGTAACTATGTTTTGAAAATGCTGTACATAAAAAACACATTTTAAGAATTTCTCATTGAGATATTGACACGATAATTGTCTTTTAATGCACTGTTGTTGCTCAGATATTTAGTGGTAAATAAAAAAAAAAGTATTTAATGTTTTTTAATGTCTTGCTTTAGACACTAAAGTTCTGGCAGTGCTATGAAAGTTATATGGCAGATGACGCTCATCTGTGTGTGTAGATATGTACTGACACACATTAGTACACGCCTATATGAAATCTAGTGCACCTCTAGGCCGCTCTCTCCTTTTTGATAGTATTGCATGTGCCTGTCTTTTCCAATGGAGAATGTAAGCACTTGTACAGACAGACAGACAGACGCTCCATCTGCAAGTCAGAGTCGATGCCTTCAATGCCCTTCGTGCCATTCAAATAACAAGCCTTGTTTGGCTTATGTCACGAATCCCATCAGAGCACTTTCTCATAAACGGTTCCCTATTGTGGAAGAAATTTAATGTTGTGCTCTTACAGAAAACAAAATCTTGTCATTTAAACATTTTTAAAGGTGCTGTAAGTGAAATCAACATTTTGGCTAACTTCTAGTCCCTACTTGGAGTTAGCAGTCCCCCCCTTCTCCCCACATCCCCACTCTGAAATTCTGTTACCTGCCCTTAAGAACCGCCTCTGCCTTTTCCCCCAAGGCAGTGAGGGCTGGTTTAGAGCCAGTTTCTAATCTCAAACCAGTTATTTACATTTCAACATCCAAAGAACCGGTTCTTGTCAACAAAACAGGTTCCAACGCGGCATCAACACTTTGCTAGTTTAGAACCAAGTACCGCTTCCAACCAGCAGTATATTTATTAGCTGTTACCACAGATGTTATAAACGTAACATTGAGCTAGCTGGCTAGCTAGTTAGCTGTTTGTCAGCTAACATTGACCAAGCAAGACTGGCTACTAATTTCTCTCATTAGGGTTTCATTTGTAACATTTTTCATAACTTTGATGTAATGCTCGAGGTTAGTAACACTGATGTGAGCAATTAGCAGCGATGCATGCTTGGGTCATGTTGGTTGACCAGTAGCTAGCTAGCTAGTGAGCTAGCATAACCTTGGTAACAATAGCTAACATTGGAGATGTATACAGGGACGTAATGATGTGGCTCTCTAGCAAACCGGTTGAACCAACTCTGGACCGGCACCCAGAACTATCCTAGGTTCTCATTGGTGGAAACGAGGTATTTGTGGAGTTCTCTCTCCTGATTGGATAAAGTAGGGACACGATACCAGAGAATGTATTCTGTTTACTGCAGGAAGGAGGGACTTAGAGACCCATGTCACTGACTGAACACTATATATCAGTGATGGCTGTCGGAATGTAGAGCTTGTAACTTATTTTAACAAACACCACTTACAGCAGCTTTAATATATCTACATGAACTTAACCCCCCTGAAGCTCTCAGTGAGATGCATCAGCAGGATGCTTTGCAGATTGGGGCGTCTGTCTACTCTTACTCTACATTCTCCCTGTATTATATGTATGAATGTGTGTGAGTGTGTGTGTGTGTGTGTGTGTGTGTGTGTGTGCAATGGTTTGAAATAAACTTATGGCCTCAATGTATTGTCTTTTCATAGCATTTACAGATAAGGCAGCAATAGCTCAGCGCAGGAAAATCAAAAAAAAGAAAAAGAAAACATTTATTTAGCTGCTTTTAGCAAACTTGTCCAAATTCCACTGTACAAATGACTGTTAAATGAGAAAAAAGTCATGTATATTTATTTTATATCCTCTATTATAATAAAAATCTCTTTTGTCTCAATCACTTCCATGTGTACAGTAAGCTGTTTTGAGCCGATTTGAGTGTTGCTGTCGCTGTTCACCACTTGATGTCACCCAAGGGTGGATGTTCACTGTGCTGGTGCCATTCAGTAACTAAACTCTCTTGCTATTGATTCATCTTAAAAAGTAAGAAAATTGTTTTTTAAAATGTAATTTTATATTTTTAGAGGGCATGTTTTAACCTACATACTGCTGTATAAATCACATATGGCAGCTTACAGTTCTATTGACTGCATTCAAGAGTAAATTCAACTGTAAATTTTAACTTTAATGTTATATGGATTATTTTAAAAGTTTTTACAAAAACAAAAATATTGAAATACATTGTGTACTAAAATGTCATTATTATTATTATTTTTTACTAATGTACTGTAACAGGTGTATAAAGTACAATAGTTTATCATAGTTGAAGAAATTGTTTGACAATTTGGGAAAAAATGCTCATTGGCTTTCTTCCAGAGAATTAGATGAGAGGTTCCATTCTCATGTTTAAATGAATGTTAAATAGCTGGAGCCACCAGCCAATTAGCTTAGTTTAGCATGAAGACTGGAAGCGACTGGCTCTGTCCAAATGTAAAAATATGATTCACCTACCAGCCCCTCTTAAGCCCTTAGGCTGTGACGAAATGATTTCAACAGAAGACCCACTTACTAGGTTTTTGGAGCTTTCAACCACATCTCACGGTCTTACCAGCTCAAGTCATCACATGAGCCTGGAGAACTTAAGTGGTTGTAAATGGAGATGGTAATTCTCCTCAAAAGTGGCCTCTGGAGTTTGATGTTAATGGTCTCCTTGATCTGTCTCCGGTCATCCACTCCTTCCCAGCTAGTAAGTGGACTTTTTGACTTGAGCTTATTCCATCACACAAAACATACTTTATTACATACATGAACCTCTAATGGTACCAAGCCATGCAGGTAGTTTAGGTTTTATTTTTCCAGGTTTTGAGATATCTATCACTGAGATTCCTGCTTGCACCCCAATACAATGAAGGTAAATAGAACTTAGTGTGTTCAACCTCTGTAGGAACAAGAACTAGATGTCATAAATTCTATGTACATCCCCTGCGAACAGTGGTTATATTTTAATTTGGACCTTCTTCCAATAGAAACATTGAATTATCCAGAATAATAATATTGCTGCTGTGATAAAATCTCACATAGATATATCAAAACCTGGGCAAATAAACCAACCCAATCCAATTGTCTAGATACTTTTCTGTAATTTGGGTGAACCAGCCCTTTAATGTACTTGCGTACTGCCCAGTAACAAGCTGCCCAGCAACAAGCTTTTGCACTTTTGCAGTTGTACCTTCCAGACAGCTACTGGCTTCATTAATGGCAGGAAATACAACTTCCACAGACTTCAAAATTCATAGAGAAAGGTATTCATCATAGTGAACATATAATATATATAATATTTAATGGACACTATACAAGATTCATTTAAGTGCCAAAACTCAGAAAACCAAAACATATAGCACTGATGCAGCAGAACCTATGCATACTGATACCACTTCAATCAGATTTGTAGAGACTTAAAGGTCCAGTGTGTAACATTTAGGAGGCTCTATTGGCAGAAACTGAAAATAATATTCATAGGTATGTTGTCATTTGTGTACAATTACCTAAATAAGTATTGTTGTGTTCTGTAGATAAAAAAACAACTAATTTCATTACCTTTTTATCTACAGAGAGAGTGTGTCCTCTTCTATGCAGTCTGCCATGTTTCTATATCAGATCAGAAGGGACAAACATTTTGTGTTTTTCACGAGTTTCATGGTGATGTAGTTTCTCCTACAAGCTTGGAAGGCTGAGCCGTATTCAAATGGCTGAATCGGCAACTTCATCACTAGATGTCACTATATCCTACACGCTGGTCCTTTAAAGACTGCATGTATTGCATAAAGTGAACTTGTCCCTGCTATTGACCCTACTGCTGTTATAAGGTTACACACACACTCATTACATAGGAGTGTGTGTTTGGATGATTTGAACACATCTATCCACCGTCAGGACATTCCACAAGATGCGTCAAGTAAGTGCTACATTCAGTTCTCTTTATGGGCTCGTGGTTTGACAAGTGAAATCAGTGCGGGCAAGCTGAGACTTGGCATCAACCTCACGACTTCTGGCAGAGGCACTGGATCGACAGCTCAGCCTGCAGTGTTACTGCTACCACTTGAAGGAAATTTATGACTTTAAAAAGAGCTCAGCAGAGTGTATTAACACGGATGATCCCATTTTCTACTCTGTCTCCAGGTGCTGCTGCTCGGGTCAGCTACTGAGGAACAAGCCCCCCACACATATAGACCATAACCCGGACCCTAACAGTTGTTACACTGGATATTCAACAGTAGACAGAGAACAGACTTTCTCTGCTCTTTGGAATATGTGCCACCGCATTGCCTGTCATACCAGCACTGTAGAAGATAAATTGCTCTAAACAAGTCCTGAGGTTGCCATTATAGTTCTGAAAGGAGATGTTTTGATCTAATTAGAATTAATAGGATAATTTAGTTTGGTTGCTTTTATCTATTACACCATCCAGAACCGTACCTACATGCAGCTACATGCAACTGACAGAACATTTACATGTACATTTGCCTTGCAACTACTTTCTATCAAAGAAATAGTCCGTTCGAAACCTGCGTCACAGCATGTGCTGTGGAATATTTTTATAGTAACCAGACAAATATTTCTGTAAAATCATGTTGCTGTTTAATTTTTAAATGTCATTTTGTAATGTTGTTATCACCATAAACAAAATTCCAGTCACCTCCACTGTACTGTACTGTTGGCAGAAACACATACCTCAACAGTCAGAAGTGAGGGTAGTCAGAAGAGTCAGAAGTATGGGTAGTTTTATTGATGCATGGCTTATTTTCTGCCCAGTTAACACCATTTAAAACACCAATATGAACTATTGACACATTAGAAATTAGTTTATACTGTAAGTTATAAAATATCTTGAATAATAATAATAATTCATTTTACAAAAGAACTTCCTCTATAGTATTTTAGAATAAACAAGTATAAACGTATACTTTACATGTTATTTTGAGTTAAATGCAGATTCACAAAGATTATTCCTCTGCTCAGGGGTTATATTGAGTTAAATGAGTTTACAGTAATACAGTACCAGTCGCCACTTCTGCCTCTCACTCTGTTGACCAGACTGCTGCCTGGCGTGGGATGTTTGACGGATGTCTTAGTGTACTCCTCCTCCTCAGACAAAGTTGTGTGGTGGAGATAGTGTTTGTGTTTTCACCAGCCCAGTCGGAGTGGGAAACTACAGAATCAGAATAAGTAGAATGGTCCAATTTTATTCAGTGCAGCAGTTTTTAAAGAGTGCCTAATCTCAAATAAAAATTCAATCATTGTCTGCTTCTTGCCATGTCAAACACCCCTCACCAGGAGGTGACTGTTAGCCTTTTTTTTATAAACTGCAGGAATCCAAATGGCTTTTGGGGCCTAAATCAAGAGTCTCAGATAGCTGCATTAAAGTTAAACATTGGCCACATTATCTCCAATTTTTTCCCCAGCGGCAAAGCTGGGGGGTGCTTGTTACTTTACTTTTACGAGTTATAACTTTCACCAGAGCTCTGTAGGGAGCCACAGTTCAGTCATTCTGCTATAGAACACTAAAGATAAATCTATGCAATTGTAATGGATATTTTCTTTTCTTTTAAGCTGTAAAAAGATGAACCAGTTAGCAAGAAGGTCAAGAGGAAAGGCTAGCACTCAGTTTGCTGGTACCAAAAACATCCAGTTGATTGAGTTTTCTGTGAAATTTAACCATTACCAAAGGGTTATTTAGCTCTCCAGTGATACAATAGATAATAATAAGCTAATAAACAAGAGTCTATAGACATGCTAGAAACACAGTGAGTAAGTAAGTTAAAAACCAATATATGTATGTCAACATACGCTCAAAAACAATGCTAACATGGAGATGTTAAGCATGTTCACCATCTTAGTTTAGTATGTTAGCACACTGCCATTAGCAAACTAGCTGTAAACACAAAGTACACTTGTTCCCCCTGTCGCTTATTCACTATTACTGTCAGATGAACAACTTGTGTTTCCAAAATGTCTTTTTTCCAGAATCAGTGAAAATCAGTGTTACCCTGACCAACCTTTTCTTGATAACATTCAGAAGATTCAGTAGAGATGGTAAAGATGTTTCCTTGGCAATTTGTTTTCATTGAACACTGCAGTGTTAATTGTCTTGATTTTTAAACTGTCTAAGGCTTGATCCACACTCTCTTTTAAGTGACATTTCCAGCTATTTATCTATTATCAGGATGATAACAGCTATTTTTACTTTGCCACAATAGATGACTAAGCAGTCTACGTGTCCTTTCTAACCACTGCAGTTCTAGTGGGAAAGTTCCGGACTCATCCACAGAGTGTCAGTTTGACCTTAAGGGTAGGAGATCGGTGTCTGGAGCTCCGCCATCACACCACTCACTCCCAGTCTGCTCTCAGTGCAGCCTCCAACCACAACTTGATGCTAACACTCCACAGACCTTGACATTTCAATTGCCTCTTAGTAATAAACTCTCCACTCTGCTCAAAAACAGGCCCAGACTGTGTTTGTGTCGTTATCTGTTACCTCCTATTGAGTTCAATGCAGTTCTAATTCTACAGTGCAAATTTTCATTTGTACAATAACTTATTATTTTAAAGATGCCATCAGAAAGGCTGATCTAATATCTTTATGTATATATATATATATATATATATACTGTCAGGTGAAAACCTCATATTTTCAAAATATCTTCAGGATCAGTGAAAAACAGCCTTGTGGTTACCCTGACCAACCTACAGTTCTTAGCTAATACAATAGTTTTAGAGGGAAGGGGATGACACACAGCAAAGGGCCACAGCTCTGAGTCAAACCCATTTTCTCCCTAGGGACCTCAGCTCTGTTAAGCCACTAGATGAATGCATTAAAGACATAAACAACTTAACGTCACAC